TTTTTTTTTTTTTTTTTTTTTTTTGGTACCAGGGATTGAACTCAGGTCCTTTGGTAACTTTTTTCTCTGGCATTTCCAGATGTCTCTGCAGTGTAACTAAATGTGGGCATTTTATTCACCACACCAGGACCTTTCAGGCTTTTTTTTTCCTTCCTTCATTTTCTTTGTTCCCTTTATATGAGTTTGTCAGAGCTGCCCTGACAAAGTACCACAGAATGGCTGACTCAGTTACACAAAAACGTTGTGTCCTCACTGATCCTCTGGCTGGAAGTCCAAGATCAAGGTGCCAGCAGGGCCTCTCTCTCTAACTGGTAGATGGTCATCTTCTGGCTGTGTCTCCACATGGTCTTTCCTCTATGCATGCCCAGGTCCTATCTCCTTTTCATGTAAAGACACCGGTCATGTCATGTTGGTTTAAGTCCCACCCTAATGACCTCATTTTACCTCTTTTTAAAATTTTTTATTTTATTTTATTTTGTGAGACATGAACTTACTATGCAGCCCAGGCTGGCCTCACCCGCACAGCAACCCTCCTGCCTCAGCCTCCTGAGTGCTGGAATTACAGGCGTGTACCACTACTCCCTGCTGTCATTTTACCTCTTTAAAGACCTCTCCAAATAGTCACATTTTGAGGCACCGAGAGTTAGGGCTCCACCATGTGGATTTGAAAGAGATACACTTCAGGCCTGAAGACCTTATTTCGGATCTCTGGCATTGTCCCTCTGTCCAACCTGCACAAGAGACGCAGCTTCCCCAGAGGATCTGGAAGGAAATGAGTTGCTGCTGGTCATCAGGTCCTTCCCTGACCTTTTCTTTTGATTCTGAGCTGGAATCCCCTCGGGGGTTTCCTTTTAGCCTTGGAGTGAGGGTGTCATTGCTTTGGTAGAAATTTTAAACCACTTAGATTGTGGAACTCTCTTTGATCTGGTGCTATAAAAAGCACCAGAAAGAAAGCCTAATGACTTAAAAAGATTTTCTTTGCTGAAATCTTGAAAAAGAAGAGAGATGTATGAGTTTAGTAATATATCACCCCCCACCACTACTCATGTGGTAGAAGATAAATGAGAAGCTTTCTTCTATTAACTGACAACATCAAATCCTTAATGGATCAAAGATTTTACTATTTCCATAATGCTTTAGATTCTACGAAGGGGAAGCTCTAGAAAATGATTGTCAGAAAATAAATAGAAAAGCTTCAGTACTGAATTTCGTGGAGTCAGACCTCTGAGTCATATGTGAAGTAAAGGAAGAATGTACACATTTTCAGCAAATGGAATCCTTTTGATCGCATGGTATCAGTCATTTGCAAGATTTAAACAATTACCTTAAATTGGCCTTTACATAAAGTGGCAATTCTTTTGGTCAAAAATGAGTTGAAAATGTGATGTTTATCTTTCTTAAACATTACATATCACTACATATTATATGTATTCATAAATGCTATGTTTTTATAATATTATAAAATATTGCTTAGCCATATTGACATGTGCTTCTCTTTATTCTTTGTCTTACCATTGTACAGTATCCCACTGCATAGACAACTACTATTCAAACAAAATTGTTCTACCCATGCTGCCAAACAGTACCACAACCCGCATTCTTACCTGTTTCTTTGTCCGCATATAGGAAGCTTCTCTAGGGCAGTGGCCTTTAAGCTTTGCATCATACCTAATGAAAATGTTTTGAACTTGTACCCCAGATGTATGAATGTGACATCCTTTACAAATCACATATAAAAACCACTGTCTCATATTAGCATGTGTCACAAAGCTGATGGAAGTTGGCCACATGTTTTATGGACATAAACTTTAAATGACTTCTTGCAGAACTTAAATATGCACTACGTATTTCTTGTTCTCCACCTTTGCTGATCTTCTGTGAGCCTTCACTCACCTATTTGGCAGGGGAGAAATTAACTGGTCTTCTTTTAGGCAGCTCCCCCTCATCACCCTAGTAGCACAAGAATTCCAGAGTCTTCTACTGCAGCCTGCCCCATCTGAGGACGTGACCTCTGGTCATCTGCCCTCCCTGTCCACCACCTTTGTGGTCCTAGGGAGGCAGAGGACTTGGCAGACTGGAAGCCCTGGGTGTTCACTCCCTTCCTGCATTTCAGTAGGGTCCTGGTTGCTGTCACCCCAGCGCCACACCAGTCTCTGCCATCTAAGAGCAATTTCTTGAGACTGTCTCTTCAATCCTTGTCAAGGTCCTCCTCTGCCCCTAGCTCCTGGATTTGCTCCTCACCTCCTTGAAGGAATCCTGGCACAGGGCGTCTTCTAGGTACTGGACAACTTGCTGTCTTGGTCCTTCATCTCTTTAACACTAAATCTTTTGGAGCAAGGAGCACCAAGGCATAGCTGCCTATTGGATGGAGCAAGGATCAGTGTTTATTTCCATGCCTACTTCCTTGTTCCCAAATATCACTGAGCTAGTAATATTCACAGAGTGCTCAGAAAGTACCTGATATGAATAAACACTGTTTAACATATTCTTTTAGGGGTGTGCTCATGACTCAGTGAGCAAACCTAGCATTGCTAACCTTCTGCCTTTAGGCTCTAGGAATTTTCTGCAAGCATCTTCAACTCCTTCAAAGATGGTAGCATAGCCCAATATCAGGTGCATGTCCGGTGACCTAGAATAAATCATTCTGCAGTTGTGACAAGACAGATGGTTTTCTGTTTCAGATTTGTAAATACTTTTAACAACGTGGTCAACATCACAATGAGTGGGAAAGTTTTTGAAGATGTCACCAGTCATAATGCCAGCAAGTATCAGTTTTTTTCTTCTGGCATGTAAGTACCTTTCCTGGTCACTTTGCTCCGAAATTCAAGGGTAGGGCCAGAGATGTAGGTCAGTGGCACAACACCTGTCTGGCAAGTGTGAGGCCTGGGTTCGATTCCCAGTACAAACACACACATACACACACACTCGAAATTCAAGGGTTTCAAGTCCTTTTTTTAATACCCTGAGACTTTCAATGCCAAGACTCTTAACCTCTATTATTCTTTGTCTTAATAGAAAAAACTTCACAATAAGCTCAACAGAGTTTCCAGAATCGTGTCGACGTGATTTTGAATCTTCCAACCTTGAATTTGGTAGCGCTTATACCTATGTGATTGAAAGGCAGGTCAGTAACAGTCCATCCTATCAATTCTACTCAGTCTTTACCAGCTAACTCTCGGATCTATGGTGGAAATGGTCAGAATTAATTCAGCGTACTGCTAATTCTTCAAGTTATCATTGACCAAAGTTAATCACTAGACCAAATTCAGCAGACTTCCTTCCATTGATTAGAAGTTCATGCTGACCAGTACCAGATGCTTCCTTATGGACTATAGACATGGACTTTAGGAACTTATACTTCAAAGAGAAAGCAACGTTTTAAACAAACAAAGCTGACTTCCAGTCTACTCTAATTTAGGAGGAAAATATTAGTGAACACATCTTCAATCCGTCCAACGCTGACCCGTCACAAGTAGAAAGGCGGCGTTGAACACTTACGTTTAAACTGTGTACTTTCTTATTGAATTTCACAACATTACCCTACACAGTCAAACTCAGTATGAACAGTTGTTCTAGAAGCAATCTTGACTTCAATTTCAACTTCCTGCCTTTGCCTTCTATATAGAGTGATGGGTGTCCCGGAATAAAGCAATTTGAAGATATTGCACCCAACACAGTCAACATGGCTCTGCAGATCCCGCAGTATTTCCTTCTCACCTGTGGCGAGGTGGTCTTCTCTGTCACAGGACTGGAGTTCTCATATTCACAGGTTTCTCATTTCCTTTTATTTATTTATTTATTTTACCACCCTTCTCCTAACCCCCTACCTTCAAAAATGCTTCTGGGACTCAACCTAAATCTTGAATTGCTGTGTGTTTATAGTTTTTAAAAATTCTAGAAAGCACTGTATCATCTGCAGAGCAAGGTTTTTGAGATTTGAGAAAGGTCATAGGGCCTTTACTGAATAAGAACACTAGGCAGGGCATGCATATATCTGTGTGTGTGTGTGTGTGTGTGTGTGTGTGTGTGTGTGTGTGTGTGTGTCTATAATCCCCAGGGGCACTCTAGCACTTTGCTGGGAGTGCACTTCAGTGGTGGAGCTCTTGCCCAGAGAGCACAAGGCCCTGGGCTTGAACTCCATCGCCACTTTAAAAAGACATATAAAGAGTTCAGAGTCCCAAGTAAAAACACTGTCTTAATGATCATCAGTAGTCACGGTAGTAGATTAACCAAACGGTACCAACTACTCATAAAGGTGCTCGTTATAGATCTGTGTCCTCATTATAGGTAAGGTTCGGTGAAGGTCAGTGTAGCTTCTAACAAACATCACATAAGGCCTAGCTTTAAGGATAAGCTAAAACATATTGCTTTTAAACATATTTGACAAATAAGGCACCTGATAACTTGATACCCAGGTTATAGCTGAATTTCTGAACTATTTTATCAAAACTGAAGTTATGATCATTGTATCCACAGTTTCTTGTACCTTCAATTATTGTAGTTAAGGGCTGGGGATGTAGCTCATTGGTGCAGTGCCTGCCTGGCAAGTGCAAGGTCCTGAGTTCAATCCCCGGTACCGCAAAATTAAGGTACATAAAATTTACATATATACATGCATGTGTGATATATATGTAGGTATAAAGTACAAAGAAAATTGTAAGTTTCTGGGAATACCACCTAGATACTCGTTCTTATGCACACATATTATTCTGCACACACTACTATATAGTAGTTAAGATTGCAAATGTGAGCTAGATAATCCCTTCCTGTGACAACCTCACTGTCTAACAAAGGCAAAGGGAGGAGAGTGTGAAGGGGGCTTTGGCAGCCTAGCAGGGACATCCTGGATTTGCAGGCTTGCAGGCCGGAGAGCAGCCCCCGTGGGGAGAACATGCGGGGATGGCTGGGCTCACATGCTCTCCTGCAGGAACAGAATCTGTTTGCCTGCCAAACTCTATGCTTCACCAAAAGGACCACTTTGCATGGTTGCTGGAGTGATGCCCACGGGTTCCAGAGCACTGAGCTGCAGGAGGGTTTGGGGGTCTGGGAGGACCTGACCTTTCACCGTGCACAGTTTGAGGGTAGACTGTTCGATGAAGTGAATTGCTCGGTTGTGTTCTGCTCTGGGATGGAGATCGAGATTGGGATTCACCTCGCTTTGCCTCCTCAGGCTCCCTCCAACATGAAGTCGGTGCTTCAGGCGGGATGGCTGCTGACGGTGGCTGTTGGCAACATTATCGTGCTCATTGTGGCGGGGGCAGGCCACTTCAGCGAACAGGTAAAGGTGGAGGAGGAAGTCGGGGTCCTCCATCTTATGCACTAGAGGTCATAACTGTGACCCTCCCTCGCCATCTATAGATACACGGTCACTTGGGAGACAGCTGGATAATGTTGCCACATCAACCAGACAGGGCTGTTACCGGTAGCCTTGTGGCTAAGAGTGTACTGGTTCTCCTTTCCCCCCTGGTGTTATACAGTTGGAAATCGACAACCAAAATAACCAGATTGAGTTCAATGCACACTTGGTAATGTGGTTTACTATCAAAGGAGTCATCCTTCCTAGCTCTAGTGACTACAGCTTACTACCTGCACTAGACACGATGTCTAAAAACTTTCCTAACACCTGAAGTTAAGGGCCTTCTTGAAATGGTGGCACTTTTTTCAGCTAAAACCAAAGGAGGGCTTTTCTGACGCTTCAATTCATTCCTTCTGCACTGTGGCACACAAGGTCTCCCTCCAAGGTGTCATCACCACAGCCATTCATAGTCTCCCTCGCCGGGTCCCATCAAAGTGTGTGCTAATGCCGCATGTTCAGGACCTCACGGGGTCACCACAGGATAACTTGAGGGCCTTCCCTGGGTAGAATTCAGCACACTCTTTTTCCCCACAGAGATGTTCTTTTGGTTCTGTCTTTCGGGCTTTAGCCATGTGTCTTAATTAAGACTGGAAAGTTCTTGAAATTCTCTTTTACCCCCCATTCATTGTGTTTCTGGACCCTGTGCTGTTAGGAAATGTTACCTGTTCCTTGCGCATTCAAGAAAAGCTGGCCAGCCTCTCTCTGCACACCTGCCCACCAATTTTCCATAACAATTGAATTTCAAAGCACCTTGCACCTAGACGTAGCAAGCAAATGTACGTGTACTATATGCACTAACACGAGCTTGTTTTTTTTCCCCCTTCATCGGGGATCCCTTCGAAGTGGGCTGAGTACATTCTGTTTGCCGCATTGCTTCTGGTCGTCTGTATCATATTTGCCATCATGGCCTGGTTCTATACTTATGTGAATCCAGTGGAGGTCGAAGCTCAGTTTGATGAGGAAGAAAAGAAAAGGAGCGCGGGAAAGAGTGACCTGTATCCCACGTTGGAGTCAGTCTCACAGACGAAGATGTGAAGCTCAGTAAGCACGTGGAAAGTGGACTGAGCCAGCTTGTGCCTTGACCTTTGAGCCCAGAGGCAGGCCCTTCCACTGGGTGGCCCTTGATGGGAGGACTTCGGAACTGTGAGCAAACCCAGAAAGCTGCTTTCTAAGGAGTTAGCGATGAGTCAAAACTTCTAGAGGAAGTCTTCTTTTGCGGGGGAAGTTTTGTTTACCACCCCCTGCATTTTTAACAGAGAATTTACCTTGTATTTAACTCCTCTCTAGCTACACAAATTAAATTAGTTTGGACTAACTTAATTTTGAAAGGGTAAAAGAGTTCCATTATTTTTTTTCTAAAACTCCTATGAGAACAATGTTAAATGAGAAGAAGCTAATGCCAAAAATGAATTTGCAGGTTTATAATAAGTGCCAGCTAGTTTTAACTGATAACTTTTTGTTTTTCTAATCCCTACCTCTTTTTAATTATGTACAACTCAAAAGACAACTCAAATGAAGGCCAGTAATGATGTTAAAGTTTCAGTGATGTGAGATAAATTCCTGTTCTTAAGAGTGAGTGTTTGTGTGTCTTTGGGTTGGATAAGAAATCTTTAACGTCCTGTCTAGTTATAAAAGCACTGTGTGCACATTGAAATTTCATCAGAAGTGATGAAAGCCTTAACAAATGCAGTGCCCTCATAGGATAAATCCCAGGGACATGCAACATCGAAGTCTGTTTCTTCTTGGCCCTGTTTTTCCCAGAGGGTAAAAGATCTGTGTCTTGTATCACTAGGATCTCTCTATGTGCCTATATGTGTACATCGTGTGTGTTTCTCTCACTCCTGATAAGCATTTTTCTGTTTGAAATAAAAACTCTTCCAAAACATTGTAGACACTCAATGCCTAATTTATCCAATAGATATTTATCATTTAATCATCCCAGATATCAGACCCAGAGTGATTTTTCTTTGACCATTCCTCTGCAAGTGAGGGATGCTTCTTAAACGTACTGTATACCGCTCTGAGGCCTGAGACTGTTACAGGTTTAGGGGCACAGTCCATGTTTGACCTCAAAACTGCTTCAACCCGAGCTCATGGTTGCTCGGAGGAGGCTACGTGGAAGCCGAGGCTCTCAGTCCAGAGAGGGAACAGCAAATAGGATTTATCAAAGCTTGCTTCCGGCCTTGGGATCAACTCCTAATTCCTTAGTGAGAGCCAGAGCGGCTCTTTTATTAACTATTTCTCTTCACATACTCCAACCCATCCAACGTCCAGCTTCTCTTCCTGGAATGCCTCAGGTTCTCGTTCCCAGGTCAAAGGAAAGGAAAATGAGATCCTGGGACACATCCTCTTCCTGTCACCCCTCCCTGCCGTGTGGGGCGGTGTTCTGCTCCGAGCTCCCGCACCGCCCCATAGTACTCTCCGCCCTCTGCGCTGTAACTGTGTAGCTGGCCCTGAACAGAAAGCGCTGTGTGTATGTATCCCCTTCGCTGATCTCCCCAATATGGCGGGCTTCTATTTGTCAGGTAGATGTTTTAAATATCTTGGACTATGTGAGGTAAGACCAGAGAGGCAGGGACCTGAACAAAGCATTGTAGTTTCAGCAGAGTATAATGTCAGCCTGATAAACTCTAATGTAAAAAAATTGTTCTAAGGAATCACATATTCTACTGCTTCTGTGGTTTCTAATTTACATACCATGGCCTTTGTTGGGAAAAACCAATTGCACAGTGATGAGATGAGCACTCGGTTTCCATTGTCCTACTTTTCCTTTTCTTTTCTTTCTTTTTTTTTGGTGGTGGTACTAGAGATTGAACCCAAGGCCTTCACACCAAACTACCTGCCCGGCCCAAAATTTTGCATTTTGAGACAAGATCCCACTAAGTGGGCCAGGTTGGGCTCAAACTTGCAATCTTCCTCCCTCAGCCTCCCAGAGTGCTGGGATTACAGACATGAATCACACACCTGGCCCCACTGCCCTCCTCTTGACAGCAATCGAAAGTGCTAACCCTAAATCCTTGAGAGATTCAAACCCTAACTTGTTCGCTGGTGACTGTGTAGCTTAGGGAAAGTCTTGCTCTTTTAGATCTCATTTCTTGTTCTGTGAAATAAGGTGAACACCAGCTGGTCTGAGGACTTGGAAATCCTCTGTTAGAGGGTACCGGAACGCAGTGGGCTTCTGAGCACTTGCATGAACCAGACCTGATATCAGCGCAGTAGCTCTGCGTGTGGGTGGAATGACACCACGACAGTCCTCCTCAGCCTTCGAAGGACATGAGTGTACGGAGGGCAGCGTGGGCGCCGCCCTTCAGCGGTTACTCTGGCTCTTATTTGACTGTTGCCAGCCATAACCAAGACCAACGGATGCCAGTATCATGTAGGTGTTCTGTTTGTAAGACCCCAGACAGCAGCAGTTGGCGTGGGGTAGGCATGGTGGAAGAAAGCGCATGAAGCCACGTCAGTAACCTCTGCCTTTCTGCCTTTTCCTGATGGTGTACATGTATGTGTGTTTACACCTGTCATTTCTGTGATGATGGATGTATGATCCAAGTAGTACACTGACGTGAACATGGGCTGCCTTTCCGAGTACAATCTACAATGGGGTGGCGAAGGAAGCCCTTGAAACAGATTTTGAAGATTTTGTTTTGGCGGGTCTTTTGGGTACTGGGGGTCAAACTCAGGACCTTTCATTTGTGAGGCAGGCGTGGTGCCTCTGAGCTAAATCCCCAGCCCCAGACTTTGAAGTTTATAGCACAAATCCAGAATATTTTTGGAAGTGTTTGTGGTGAATCTACAAATCTTATTTTCATGTCAGCTTATTTTTTTGTTTTGTTTCCACATGTTTTTCTTTTACTTGGTGGCTATTCTTTATTACAGGGAACTAAAAAAATACTAATTTTGAAAAGAGAAAAATTTTAAAAATAGATAATAGGAAGATAGATCTTTTGCAAATGGCAGGGGGATCAAGAGATGGAAGGGAGAAGGAGATGAGAAAAGGGTTGTAAAAAAGAATTCAGATGTGTTACGGGTACCAGCTCCCCAATGAGAAATATAATCACGTACTGCAAATATGCACGAATAAAAGTTAAAATTAATTATTTTGAAGACTTTTAGGCTTTATAAAATTAGTAAAGGTATGTTCAAGTTTGATTTTTGTTGACTATTTTAGCTATGAATTTTGTGTGATTTCTGGGATTTTCTGTCTGTCTGTCTGCCTTTCTCAATACTGGTGAACCCAGGGCCTTCACACTAAGCTACATCCCCATTCTGCTTTTTTGTTTGTTTGTTTGTTTGTTTGTTTTAATTATGAGACATAGTCTCGCTGAGTTGCCCGGCTAGGTTCAAACTTGTGATCCTCCTGCCTCGGTGTCCCCGAGTGCTGGGATCACAGGTGTGCACCACGTGCCTGGCCTGTGTCCTCTTTTCTTTAGTGACAAACAGTGGTGGTTTCATGCACTGACCACTGAATATGTACAGATAGCATGCTTGGTGCTCTCCTGGATTAGGTGCACACGTGTGCAGTCCTCGCGGTAACCAGCATTCCCGACCCACAGGAGAGAAGCGAGGCACACAGAGACCTAGGGCCGCCCCACCCTCAGGCTGCCTCTCTCTCACTGCCGGTGTTTAATCTGCAGTAGGGACTACCTTGACTGTAATCCTTGGAACACAACAAAGAAGGTTTATGACCCCCATTTTCAAGACAAGACTTGAGGACAGCCACTCTACGTGACTTACCAAGGCCTTATACCCAGCCCAGGGCTGAGCCAGGATTTGGACCTGAGCATGTCAGAGTCTGGAGAAGGAGCTGCCTCTTATCCACGAGCTACAGGATCTCTTTCACCTAACAGGGCGCATCTGTGACAGCTGAGGCCTCAAAGGGGGAAAGCGCAAGGCAAAGGGGGAGCTGATGGACCTCAGAGGCCGCCGTCACCTGAACCCAGCATGGCCTCGCAGTTTGCCCAGTTGGGGAAGAGGCTAGGTGTAGAGGCTGGAACACCTGGCTCAAAGGACAGATAGGAAAGATGAGCCTCTTTGCCATCATAGAGGGAACCGGAAGCTGCCGTGATGCTAGCTCCTTCCTCGTGGGCCTGATTGTTGACTGCCCCCTGGGCAAGGGCGGTCACAGCAAGTGACTTCCACGATGCTACAGGGACTATATCTGGGGTCACCATGCAAAGGCATTGTCACCCGGTGGGGCATTGGCTGGGAGCAGGGGTGGGTGAGACAGGAGGAGAAAGGCAGGGCTGTAGAGAGAGAAAGGCAGCCAGGTCCCAGGGCCTACAGCATGGGACAGCAGAAAACATGCGGGCTTTTTATTTTTTAAATTGTGATTAAATACACAGAAGAGAGAAAAGGGCTTGGAAGCATTAACTACACTCACACTACTGTGTACCTATCACCACCATCCTGTTCCAAGACCCTCTATTTGCAGATCTGAAACTCTAGCTCCTATTCCCTTCCTCCTGGAGGCACCAGAGTGAGAGAAACAGAAAAGCAGTTCTCCTGCATTTGCCCTTCCCATGATGCTGCATGCTGGGCTTTCTAGAATGTTCTGTGTCCATCTTCTGTCTCAGCCCTAGTCAGAGGAAGCAAACAGGGAGAAGACCCAGGCCTTGCAGGCTCCAGCAAGGCTACCACCACCATAACTCCATGTAGCAGGAGGAGAAAGGCCTCCGCATCTTGCCAACCCCTGGGGCTCAGCCACGGGCTTCCATTTGATATCGTGTCTGACGCATTCTCATAATGAGACTCCTCAGCTGTTTAAAGGCCCAAAAGGGATGGAACTGAGTGGGATAGGTTGCTATTCTGGTTCTGTGGAACAAAGAGTCCCACACTTCTTAGTGCTGGATGCTCTGGAGGCTGAAGTGGGTACTCAAAGGACAAGTCTCCATGATGACGGGCCTTCGTGCTGGGGACTGGCCTGCTAGTGCTGGGTCGACCGGTCCCTTGACAGTTCCCATTTCATAGGTTACTCCTAAAAACTCCCGGTCCCCATCACCACAAGAAAGAAAGGGAAGCTATGGGTGTCAAAACCACCAGCTGTGTAGTGGCCAGCAAGTAGGACAAAGAGCCTGCCCCAAATCTGCCCCCTTGGACAAAGAGGACCTCTCACCTCCTGCTGTTCAGCCTGGATTTTAGTCTCCAGGAAGACAAACCCAGCCAGGCATGGTGACCCGCACTTAATATTCCGTGCACTGGGGAGGCTGAGACAGGGGATCGCTGTGAGTTCAAGGCCAGCCCAAACTACAAAATGAGACCCTGTCTCAAAAAATAAACAAACAAAAGAGAAAGGAAGCCAGGCATAGGTAGAGGTAGGAGGCAGAGGTAGGAGGGTCACCATGAGTTCAAAGCCAGCCTGGGCCTCCTAGTAAGTTTAAGACCAGCAGCTTGAACTACATAGTGAGACCCTGTCTCAAAAAAAAAGGGAAGATGAACCTTCCCTGACTGACCTTCTGTCAGACCACACTCAGGACGTCATTAGTCTTACTTGGGTCCTTGATTCAGATTCCAAACCTAATAGGCCCCACTCAGCGTCTAAAGGCCACAGCCCATGTGTGTCCAATGATTGTTTATTGAGAATAAACAGGCAACCCGGAAGAGCACAAACTGCTTCCGGCCTGCAGATACATGCAAATTTAACTGCCAAAGAGAACGTGTTTTCTCCTTGCCCACTCTCACAATTCAGTTATCTGCCTGAGATGTTACTGCAGGTAGGACTTGAGGGCATGCACTCCAGTCGCCTTCACACCTTCACAGTCATGGACCGGAGAAAACCCTGAGATTACAGCAACACCCCCAAAGGAGCCAGGCCCGCGAAGCCCTGCGCTTTGCTTCTGGGAAGTGGACAGAAGAATCACTGTGATGCAGGTAGGAGAACCCAAGGTTTTGATTTTAAGTCCGTATGGTGACTCATGAGTTTGGATGATAAAGGAAGGGCCAGTTATTCAAATTCTGAGCCTCAGTTTTCTCATCTGCAACATGAAGTTACGGTGGCATCAGCCTCAGGGAGATGGTGAGAAACATAATAGGGATTTCCACGCCTTTGGTCCAGGACTGAGGGGCTTCCCGGGTCAGTCCTTGGCAAGCTAGGATGAATTAGGTGCTTTAGTTTAGTGAGACAGTATAAATGAAGTGCTTGGGCTGGCGTGTAGTAAGTGTTCTGTCTTTGTGGGTCTTACAGACATTTATTGAGAGCCCAGGGGTCCAACTGTGATTGGGTTAATAGTGGGGGCTGTGTTTAAACTGGAGGATAAAGGTCAGGTAGAACTGGACTCTAGAGAGTTGCCCCGTAGGCTCTTCTCCCAGCTGAGCCAGTAAGCAAAGCCATCACCTCAGTGGCTTTCTATAAAATGGGAGCTTGACAGTTGGACGTCCCCGCCCCCGCGCCGGCTTCCGGTCAGACGCCCAGATTGAGAGCAAAAATGTTTGCCTTTAAATTCCCAGATTTGGCCACAAGGTGGCAGAGGAGTACATTGCTGAGAAACTACAACAAAAGGCCTTTGTAAATGCTAGAAATCTCTCACTAGGAATTTTTTGTGCATATACATCAAAAGGCTTTGTCAGGTACTGGGTATGTGTACTTCTAGAAGTTTCCATCTTGGGACTGGCCATAATGGTCCTGGCTGGTCTGTCGACTCAAGCGAGATTCCAGCAGGGGTTGCTGTGGCGTGGGAGGGCACCAGGCCACTTCCACTGGCCTTACTGAGTGGAGAAATGGAGGATTTCACAATATGAAACCCTTCTCACGTACCAAGATGAGCATTCCTTTAATTATATCCCAATCCTTCATTCCTTCATTCCACACATATTTATTAAGAATTGCTGTTTTTCTGGGCACTGTTATATACCAGATAAACTAATAATATAATGCCAGGAGTTGATAAGAGTCATAAAGCAAAACTAAACAGAGAAAGGGGACAGACAGTAGTGATGAAGGCTTGCTTATCTTTAGGAAAATATAAGCGTTTGGTCCGTTTCAATATCTGAAGAGATTTCTTCTGGAACCTTCTGAAGGAGTCTAGTCTGGTGGTCTGTTGTACAGCAGGTTTTTAGAAAAAATCCCTTTGAACCATCTTGGGATTTCCTTCACAGCTCCACTTTGTCACCCTATGTCCTGTAACTCTTATCATCTTTAGTGGCTTCTTGAAAAGGGGAAGACAGGCAGTGTAAAATCCTTCTAGGGTCTCACAGTTCTGAAAACACCCCCCCCCCATGATTGGTGTGTGACTGTGTAGAATTTCATTTGGAAGCCATTTTCCTGGGAATTTGGAAAGTGTTTCAGTGTTACTGTTGAAAAGCCCAAACCATCCCCATTCTGGTCTTTACCTGAGAATATTTTCCCTCTGGAAGCTTGTAGGACCATTGCTCAGATTCTATATCAGTTGAGTATCTTTTAGCCAAAATGCTTGGAACCAGAAGTGTTCTGATTTTAGATTTCTTTTAAAATTGAAATATTTGCTTATACATGAGATGCCTTGGAAGTGGAACTCAGCTTCAACATGCAATTCATTTGTGTTTCATATACAAGTTATACATACATTCTGAAGGTAACCCTTTGTTTTGTGTTTTTAGTGTACCTGTGCTTTGAGTAAATCTGTTTCACAAGGTTGGAGTTTTCTACTTGTCAGTGCGCAAAAAGTTTCAGATTTTGGAATATTTCAGATTTTGGATTTAGGGGTTAGGAATATTCAACCTTTAGTTTGAAATTTTGTGGTGGTGTGTCTGGCATGGGTTTGTTTTAATCCACTGTGCTTTATGCTCATGGGGCCTCAAAGGGGACCTCATGTCCTTTGGTGACTGGACATTTTCATGAATTTTTTTATTTTTAATTTTTCTCCCTCTGCTCACTCTAGATGCTTTTTTTAAATTTAGATGTTAGTCCTCCTTGACCAGCCCTCAAATTTTCTCATTGTGTGTCCCTTCTTTTTGTTTTACTTTCTTTTGAAATTGTCTCATCTATGTTCTGAACTTTCTCATGTATTTTTTTATTTCCACCATCATGCCTTTAATCCAAACTGTCTTTGTAATTATCTGAATTGTCATTTATTACAGTATTACAGTAACCAGTTTCTATAGCATGATAACAGCATGTTCTTATAACTTTTTTTTAACTAATTAATTTTATTGGTACATTTAAGGTATACAGTGTAACGTTGTTCATCATTGGAAATTTGTGCCTTTACATAACCCATCTTGGTTCTTATTTCTTCCCCATCCCCCTGCCCTCCCTTTAACCCCTCCACCCTTCCCTGTCTACAAAGACTTTGTATCCATTTTTTTTTTCCTGTTAATTCCATTCCCATCTTTCTTTTCCGCTTCCCTTACCACATCCCCTTCCCCTTTGCATCTTTGCATCTTTTCTTAGGTATAATAGATAATGTGAAATATGTTCTTATAACTTTTAAGCTACCAATATGGGTATTCTAAATTTTTCTTCCCCTGGGTTGTCTGTTTTCTCCAATTTGCTTTTTTTCAGATTTGCTTATTTCTTAGGCTTTGTTTTTGTGTGTTTGTTTGGTGGTTTTCTGTTTGTTTGTTTTGCAATACCAGGGATCGAACTCAGGACCTTGCCCTTGCCAGGCAGGCACAGCACCATGGAGCTACATCCCCGGCATGCTTAGTATGTTGTTCAAATAAACCATATCATCACATCTTCTGCTTGTGTTTCAGAGTAGGGGTCAAAATGCCACTTTATGACCGTGGTCTTCACTTTAGGGTTACCTGCATAATCCATTGCATTGCACAAACCCAGAAGGTATTGTCCTTCGATTTTATGGCCTGAAGCTCATCAGGCTGGGAGAGAAGAGTTGTCTGCCCCTGAGGCTGGGAGTGGGGAGGAGACAGAGAAGGGCCTTGGCCATCTGCATAATTTCATTAACCCATCTGTTTGTTGTCTAGGGCTCCACCCAGAACAAAATTGTCATAGCCCTTGGTTTTACCCTCACCAGAGGCTCTGCTACCTTTCTGTGGGGACCAGGGGAAGAAGTGGCCCACTATGCAGGGGAGGAGGATTTAAGGACCCATTCCTCTTTGTGCCGCCTTTACCCCTCACCCAAGGCACCTGGTGCTGCGGATTCCTGAGGATGTGTGAGTGGTACGGTGTGGTATGTGTGTGTTTTGCAATACGAGTTTTGTGCCTCTCCCTACTGCTAACTTTGGCTTCAGCTTCCAGAAGTCTGTTAAATTTCTCACCACTCATCTGTCCGCTTTTCATTTTCCAAAAATGCCAGTATTACCTTCTCTCTAATTCTTACAGGTTTATATATTTCCCACATGTATAGAACCATCTTGACTGTCACTTGGTGAGCTTAAAGAGAGGGAAGTCATCTCGTTTTCATTCCTCTTCTCTGATCCGAAGTCCTAATGCGGTTCTGAATATGCTCTCTGCTTTTCCTCTTGCTTTCCCTGTGACAGTGAGCTCAGCTCATGAGGAAAGCACCTGTCTTCTCCACCAGGTATGTTGCCAGCCTACTCCTCCCAACCCAAGACCTGTGCACCTGGCCGGCCACCTACTCCTCCTCTTGCACTTTCCAGCCCCACGCCAGGGAGCTGCAGCCACTGAGGACAGGCTCGGAGGGGTAAACAACAGGGACCCTGACACTGTCCTCTTCAGTGACAACCAGGCAGCCAGACATGTTCTGGCCATGTCACGTCCATGATTTGTTCTGCTGAAAACTCTTTCCATCAGTCAGTTAGGGCCAGGCATAAGCCCTCTTTTGGTTGGACGTTGTCTGTGAGCTAGGCTGACCTAGGTAATGTAGCATTTTTAGCTTATGTTATTGGAAGTCCAAAAGCAAGATGGCCTTCAGCACGCGTTGGCCCAGTTGCTCTGAAGTGTCACCTGCCTAGCTCCTTTCATCTTCCATTCTGTCTTTCTCCATCCACACTGTTCTTGCTTCTTTTTTTTTGATACCGGGGGATCGAACTCAGGACATTGTGCTTGCAAAGCAGGCAGCAGAACCACTGGGCTAAATCACCAGCCCTCCTGTTCTTGCCTCCTTCTGAAACAGTCACCTCATGGCCCCCAGGGGGCTGTGCCCATAGCTGCGGCTCCTCAGCCTTCCCATGTGAGCAGGTGAGCATGAGGACAGACAGACATGCACTACGACGTCCCCACATTCATCGCCTTCCCTTTCTTCTGCGTGTGTCGCAGGCCGGCCATTGTCTGAACTGTGAGCAGAGACTGCAGTGGTGACCGTGGGACCAGCGCAGGAGGAGGAGTTCACAGGGGGCTCCTGTGTGGGGATGATTGGGAAAGGGATGAGGTAAGGGAGGAACAGGAAGCCATGGGGCAGTTTCGGGAGAGGAGGGCCTGGTGGAGAGGGCAGCTGCCTTCGGGCAGTGTATCGCTCAGGCCCTACTGGGGTGAAGCTGCATCCCCAGATGTTCAAGTCCTTACTCCTGGTTCCTGTCCGTGTGGCTTATTTGGAAATAGATGTAATCAAATTTAGACGAGGTCCTTTAAACTAGAAGGGACCTAATCCAATGTGACTGGCGTCCTTATGGAAAGAGAAGACACAGAGACAAATGACACACAGGGACAAGGAGGGCTCTGTGACGACGTAGGCAGGGATTGGAATGATGTGTCTACAAGTCCAGAAGTGACGAGGGTTGCTGGCAGTACCAGAAGCTATGAGAAATGTCTGGAAAAGTCTGCCCTGAGCCGTAAGAGAGAACAGCCCTGCTGATGTCTTGGTCTTGGACTTCTGGCTTGCAGAATTGTAGGAAGAGGATAAATTCCTGCGGCTACAAGCCACCCAATTTGTGTTCGTGGGTCACAGTGGAAAGTAGCTCAGGCCCCAGCAGAAAGCAGATGGCAATCAAGCACCTGGACCTGTGAGGACCTTTCCAGTGCTAGACATAGGGGC